ACAGAGGGGGTACTCGGGGGCAGATCCATCCCTGGGGACGTTGTGATCCAGGTAACACTGGGTGGGAATGGAAATCATGGCATAACTCAGTGGGATTTTGTTGTATTTTTTCACCACGGGGGGACAAAGCCCCCCTCTGCCGGGAGGAGCAGCAGCTCCTCTCTGCTGCCCGCCGAGGTACCTGTTTAATCACTTGGGTCTCGTTGGCATCTTCCAGGAGGAAAATAGGGAAGTCAAAATCCTCGTAGGAGATGCCACTGCCCAGGGGGTTCCACACGGTGGTGTTGCAGTGAGCGAACTCGGGGCCGTAATCCTTGGAATACACACCTGGGAACGGGGAGAACGGGCCGATCTGAGCCTGCAGCAGCAGCAGCAGAACAGAGCTCAGGAGGTTTGGGGTTGGACAATCCCAACCCTCTGGCACGGGCAGGGACACCTTCCACCAGCCCAGGCTGCTCCAAGCCCCTCTGTGTGCGTGTCATTAACGACACTGCTCCCAGTTTGGTCCCCCCACGAGGGTCACCCTGATGTCCAGTGGGACCCTGACCACGACCCTCTGGATGTGACATTCCAACCAACCCCAACCACTTTTTTTCACCACCTAAAAAGCCCACCCATCAAATCCACCCCTTCCCTGAGCCCATCCCGTGCTGGAAGAATCCCAAGTGTCGCTGCCATTTCAGCTCCCCCGCCGAGATCCTTCGCGCTTCCTCGGCCCATCCAAGGAAAAGGCACCATTCCTCCCTCCCCCCACCCAGCAGATGGAAGATCTCCTCACCAAACCCGTCGTTGGGGCACTTCAAGCCAGGGGAGAACCCCTGGGGAGGGCTGGGGTTGGCGGCGGCCACGGCGAGGCCCGACACTCGGGAGGTTCCCTTGAGCTGCAGCAACACCTTCCTGGAGGAGGGAAAACACCCCAGAAATGAGGGATTCACTAAGGAAGAGCTGCAATCCCACACTTGATGATGATGATGATGAATTGCAATCGAGCTTGTGATCAAATTAAGCTTCGGTTTTTATCTCAGAACTGAGCTTATTGTGAAAAAAAAAAGCAACAAGAGGAAAAATTCAGCCACGTCCTTCCTGCTCTGCCCAGGGAGAGAAGGGACCCCTCAGTGCTGGGGTTTAATTTTAATGCTGTAATTAAGTTACAGGCTATTATTTCATGGCCTTTAGTAGCTGCTGTGGAGGTGAACAGGGTGTGAGGAGCTCTTTCCCCACCAAGGATAAGAAGAAAAAGTCACTAAACCCCAGTAAAAACCACGAATGGTTCGACTTCACAAGAACTGGGGGGCAGTCAGAGCTGACTCTGTCACCTGCCAGTTAAAAAAATGACATTTAATCACCAGATCAACAGACTTCTGGGCTCCCTGGGGAGATAAAAGCAGGTGCTGACTGACCTGTTGAAGAGGTTGCCATCCAGCAGGATCATGTAGGGCGGGTGAGGACCATCAGCCAGGACCCAGCGCAGATCCTCCTCCTTCTCCACCACATGGATCACCCCCGTGTCCCCGCTGATGGAGGCTGTGGGATGACAGCAGGCCCTCCATGGGATTTATTTCCTCCATCCCCCAAAAAAACAAACCCACCCTGGAAAGCAGTGCCAGACTCCTCCCAGTGACAGCACAAGGAGGGATGGCCATAAACTAAACCTCAACAAGTTCCACCTCAACATGAGGGAGAACTTCTTCCCACGGAGGGTGGAACAGCTGCCCGGGGAGGGTGTGGAGTCTTCCCCTCTGGAGTCATTCCAACCCCACCTGGACGTGTCACCTGCTCTGGGTGACCCTGCCTTGCGCTGGGTCATCTCCAGAGGTCCCTTCCAGCCCCAGCTACTCCGGGATTTCTCCAAAGATGGACAAACCACTTTCCACACGACACTGCTGATCAAACCAAGCCCTCTGACCACACCCACAATCCGCTGGCAACTCCCAAGCCTGGATGTCCCAACGCCAGGATCAGGTCCCGGGTGGCAGAGGAGTCAGAGGACCTTGGACCCTGGGTTATCTACCACAGGTTGCCCAGAGAAGCTGTGGCTGCCCATCCCAAAGCCAGGCTGGATGGAGCTCTGAGCCACCTGGGCTAGTGGAAGGTGCCCCTGCCCCAGTGCAGGGGGTGGAACGGGGCGATCTTTGAGGTCCCTTCCAACCCAAACTATTCCACGATTCATTATCAGCACGATTAAGAGGCGCAGGGAACAAGGGGCACCGGGAGGGTTCCTCACAGCCCCCCACCCAGGCCCAGGACCCCCCAGTGGGCTCACACTGGCAGCCGATCTGGTGGGTGGCGTTGAGCAGCCGCACGCAGGGGGCCGTCCTGTTGAGGGGGATGTAGATCTTCCTCTCCACGGAATTCCCATGGCAGGAACCTGAGGAGGAGGAGGAGGACGGCACGGCCACGGCTCAGGGGGGAGCTCTGAAGGGGGTGGGGAGGGGTCTGAGCCCCTTCCCCAGCTCACAGGGGGCACCCAAAGGGGTCAATGGGGGGTACAAGAGCCCACCCTCAACTCAGAGGGGTCACCCAAAGGGGTCGATGGGAAGGAGGGGACACAAGACCCTCCCCAGCTCACAGGGGGCACCCAAAGGGGTGTGAGGGGAGGTACAAAAGCCCACCCTCAACTCAGAGGGGTCACCCAAAGGGGTCGAGGGGGGTACAAGAGCCCCTCCCCAGCTCAGAGGGGACACCCAAAGGGGTCGGTGGGGGGTATAGAAGCCCCTCCCCAGCTCAGAGGGGTGTCCCAAGGTTGGGTGGGTGAAGGTCCGAGCCCCCCCCTCAAGCTCACAGAGGCACCCAAAGGGGTCGATGGGGAGTACAGGGGCCCCTCCCCAGCTCAGAGAGGCACCCAAAGGGGTCGGTGCGGGGTACAGGAGCCCACCCTCAACTCAGAGGGGTCACCCAAAGGGGTCGAGGGGAGTACAGGAGCCCCTCCCCAGCTCAGAGGAGTGTCCCAAGGTTGGGTGGGTGAAGGTTCCAGCCCCCTCCCCAGCTCAGAGGGGACACCCAAAGGGGTCGAGGGGGGTACAGGGGCCCCTCCCCAGCTTACAGGGGTGTCCCAAAGGGGTCGATGGGGGGTATAGAAGCCCCTCCCCAGCTCAGAGGGGACACCCAAAGGGGTCGATGGGGGGGTACAGGAGCCCCTCCCCAGCTCAGGGGGGTGGCCCAAGGTTAGGGTGGGTGAAGGGTCCAACCTCCCCCCTCAAGCTCACCGAGGCCCCCGCCCGGTTCCCCCCCCCCAGCCCCAGCCCCAGCCCCGCGCCCCCCTCACCCGCCGCCAGCGCGGCCACGAGCAGCGCCCGGACGAGCCCGAGGCAGCCGCGCCATCGCCCCGGCGCTGCCTCCATCCCCCGGCGGCTCCCTGGCCCTGCCCCTGCCCCTTCCCCTGCCCCTGTGGGATCGCCCGGCGCTTCCCTTTCCGCCGGGAGCTGCAGGGGGGTGGAGCGGGAAGGGGAAGCGGCCGAGGCGGTTCCGGGGCGCTGACGTGGAGCGGGGGCCGCGGGGGCCGCGGGGACCGCAGGGCCGGGGCCGGGGCGATGCTGACCAAGTTCGAGACCAAGTCGGCCCGGGTGAAAGGTAACGGCGGTGGATGTGGGGGGGATATGGACACGAGTTGTGAAAAAAATGTTTCTGCCTAAAGGAGATAAACGAGGGGAGGCGATGGCGGCGCGGGCGGGGCGGGGATGGGGAGGGGACGTGGAACGCTGCGGAGTCCGGGGTGCGACCCTGAGGGGATGGAGCGTGTCCAGGGAAGGGAACGGAGCTGGGGAAGGGGCTGGAGACACTCCTGAGGGAGCTGGGAGGGCTCAGCTTGGAGAAAAGGAGGCTCAGGGGGGGATATTCTGGCTCTGGAATTCCCTGGCAGGAGGGGGGATCCCAAGGATCTTCTCCCACAGGAGGAGAGGGAACGGCCCCAAGCTGTGCCAGGGGAGGGGCAGGTTGGGCATCAGCAGGAATTTCCCCATGAAAAGGGTGGTCAGGCCTTGGCAGGGGCTGCCCAGGGAGGTTTGGAGTCCCCACCCCTTGGAGGTGCCCGAGGAAGGACTGGATGTGGCACTGAGTGACAAGGTGGGGATGGGGCATCCTGGATGATCTTTGGAGGGCTTTTCCAAGCTAAAATCCATCCTTGTGGCTGCCCCATCCCCGGCAGCGTTCACGCAACCTGGTCTGCTGGAAGGTGCCCCTACCCGTGGCAGGATGATCTTTAAGGTCCTTTCCAACCCAAACCATTCCATGATTCTATAATTCCGTCAATAATTCAGTCACAGGGGGGGCTGAGCCAGGAGATCCCGCCCGGCCCTGAGGTCCCTGAGGGGGGGCAGGACACAACTCCCCTGGTGTCCCCCTCACCTCTCCGTGTGTCTCCACAGGGCTCAGCTTCCACCCGAAGCGGCCCTGGATCCTCACCAGCCTCCACAATGGGGTCATCCAGCTGTGGGACTATCGCATGTGCACCCTCATCGACAAGTTCGACGAGCACGACGGTCAGTGGGGCGGCAGGGAGGTGGGGGACCTGCCTGGGGAGGGATGGTGGGGTTGCAGGAGGAGGAACTGGGGTTGTTAGGGTGTCTGTGCAGGGCCAGGAGTTGGACGTGGATGATCCCAGTGGGTCCCTTTCGACCCAGCATATTCCAGGATTCTGTGAAAGGAAGGGTTTGGGGATGGAGTTTCAGGCTGTTACACAACATCTTGCTGTGATTTAAAGCTCTGGGGTTCCTCAGTAGCAGCAGGAGGGAGGAGAAGGGCAAACTGCAGCCTGTAAGTAGGTGCAGGGATTGCTCCCAACCATCCCTGCTTTTCCCGTTTGCAGGACCCGTCCGAGGAATTGATTTCCACAAACAGCAGCCCCTGTTTGTTTCTGGAGGTGATGATTACAAAATAAAGGTAAAAATATTTCCTTTTTTTGGCTCTTGGTCTCTAAAAAGGTGCCACCCAGGGAAGGGAAGATGAAAGAAACTGCTTGGACTTGGATGATCCTTGTGGCTCCCTTCCAACTCAGAAGATTGTAGGAAAAGATGATAAAAGGGTGGTGGGCAAAGTCTCATTGTAATTTGAATTTAAAACAACTTTTTAAGATGGAAGAGTTGAGCTGAGATGTGGGAATGCAGACAAAAAAAAAAAAACAAAACAAAACATCCCAGGGGGATTCTGCTCTGTGGAGTTGGACTTGGAGGATCCTCCAGCTCAGGATGTTCTGTGGTTCTGTGATTCCAGGTCTGGAATTACAAGCTGCGCCGCTGCCTCTTCACCCTGCTGGGCCACCTGGATTACATCAGGACCACCTTCTTCCACCATGTGAGTTTTCCTGCTGCTTTGTTGGGGGGGGGGGAACAGGGAATGCCCTCGGATTTCCTGGGTTGGATTGGGTGCCAAAGAGACAAGGAGGATGGAGAGGGACTTTCCCAGATAAGGGGGAATGGCTCCAAAGTGACAGGGAGTGAGGTTTAGATGGGATATTGGGAAGGGATTGTTGCCTGGGAGGGTGGGCAGGCCCTGGCACAGGTTGCCCAGAGAAGCTGTGGCTGCCCCTGGATCCCTGGAAGTGTCCAAGGAATGACTGGATGTGGCACTCGCTGACTGAGGTGGGGATGGGTCACAGCTTGGCCTTGATGATCTTGGAAGTTTTAGTGATTTGGGGATTCCTGGGGGACGGTTGGGAAATCATCACGTGGGGAGGGCTTCACGTGCAGAATACTTTAGGTTTGTTGTGGTTTTTTTTTTTTTTTTAAGGAATATCCCTGGATCCTGAGCGCTTCTGATGACCAGACCATCCGGGTGTGGAACTGGCAGTCCAGGACTTGTGTCTGGTGAGACTGAGGAGGGGGGCTTTCAAAAAAAGAACAGGGATGTTGGAGAGGGACTCTTTTATCAGGAACTGGAGTGACAGGACAAGGGGAAAAGGGTTCAAAGTGAAAGAGGGGGAGTTTAGGTTGGATATTGGGAAGGAATTCCTCCCTGTGAGGGTGGGGAGGCCCTGGCACAGCTTGCCCAGAGAAGCTGTGGCTGCTCCATCCCTGGGAGTGTCCAAGACCAGGTTGGAGCAACCTGGCATAGCAAAAAGTGTCCCTGCCCGTGGTCTCAGTGACCTTTAAGGATCATTCCAACCCATCCCATTCCACAGTTCCATGTGTTCAGCCCTGCGGGGCAGCTTTTGGCAATCCTGCACTCAGTAATCTCTGAGCTCGTTGCTGTAGATGCAAATGGAGGTGTTTATTAATATATTTTCAGTTTTAATGGTGTTTTCTGCCCCTTTTTTTTTTCCTCCCAGTGTCCTGACAGGACACAACCACTACGTGATGTGTGCCCAGTTCCACCCCTCGGAGGACCTGGTGGTGTCTGCCAGCTTGGATCAGACCGTGAGGGTTTGGGATATCTCTGGTGAGCTGCCAAGGGGGGTGTCATGGTTTTGCAAAGCCCACCTCAAAAACAAGGGTTTGGAGAGTCAATCCTATGAGGGAGAGCTGGGAGGGGGCTCATCCTGAAGCAAAGGAGGCTGTTTCTCAGTTCTATCCAGGCCACAAGGTGCTGGAGTGAAATAGGAAGGTGCTGGGATGAAATCTGGAAGGAAAAGCTGGAAATAAGGGTGATTTTAAGTGATGGTGGGGGATGGTGGCGTTACAGCGTAGATTGTTCTAGATCCTGTGGCAGTTCTGGTTGGACACACTGTGCTCATGGCACAGGCTCAGGCACTGCCAGCTGTGTCAATATTCAGGATATCCAGGGGACAGGATATCCTGGATATTTAAAACCTGTTCCCCCCCCTCAGCTCTGCCAGCACAGGGAGTTTAACAGCTCTGCTGCTCCATCCTCCCAAAAAAAAACTCGCTCTCAGCAGAGTTCCAGCTGCCAAATTGGTTTGGAGATGGTACAGGGCTGTTTTTCCTCGCCTGATCCGTGGTGAGGGGGTTTAGGGATGTGCTGGATTATTGACTCAGCTGTCGCTCTGGTCGGACAGCAGCGCTTGGTGTGTGGAAAAACCCGACAGGGAGACGAGGGACGGGTTCCAAACGTCATCCCACTCCACAGTTTTTCCCCAGGATGACTTATGTCCTTATCAGGATTCTGCTCCGGCTCCAGCAGTCTCCTGGGAGGAGTTATATCCCACTTTGTCTGGTGCTGCTTGTCCATAATCCTTGTCATGGAGCTCCATGTGTGCTGTGGACTGTTGGCAGCAGCGGGAGCTTTTCCAGCAGGTTTTTGGGATCGTGGACCCTTCCGTGCCCTCAGTTACACGAGTTTAAAGGTCACATTCCCAAATCCTCCTCCCTGAGCAGAGGGACAAGGTGGGGATGGGGCGCAGGGTGGACTCGTTGACCTTGAGGGGCTTTTCCAACCTCAGGGCTCCTGTGGTAATAAAACTTCTGCCTCCTCTCATGCTTCTTCCCTCTTCCCCTTTCGCTTCACGAGGCCTGAGGAAGAAGAACCTGTCCCCTGGAGCCGTGGAGTCGGATGTCAGGGGAATCACGGGCGTGGATTTGTTCGGGACAACGGACGCGGTGGTGAAACACGTCCTGGAGGTACAACCCCAACCACCTGCGTGTGCAGCACAGCCCCTGCAGAGGAAATCCCTGTGACACAGACGGTCCTCCAAAAGCCCTGAGGAACATCAGGAAACCAAAGTTAAAAATGTCAGGAGACCAGAGTTAAAAATGTCAGGAAAACCGGAGTTCAAACGCCTGACGTGGCTCCGCGGACTAATAATTAACATCTTGTAGATTGTGGAATCAGCAAAAGCTGGCTTGTGGGCAAACCTGTCTGAAAGTCTCTGCTGCTTTGCCCTTCCTTTACCTGTCCCTTTCTGTCCCCAAATGGCTCCTCTTTCCTGCAGGGCCACGACCGGGGGGTGAACTGGGCCGCCTTCCACCCCACCATGCCCCTGATCGTGTCGGGAGCCGACGATCGGCAGGTGAAGATCTGGAGGATGAACGGTGAGAGGATTCTCTGAGGGGGGACAAGGGGGTTGGGAGTTGAGGTTGGAGCTGAACCTGGAGGTGATTTACACTGGGAAGGGGCAACTGAAGTGCTGTGTCCAGGGCTGGACCCCTCACGGCAGGAGAGACAGGGAGGGGCTGGAGCGTGTCCAGAGAAGGGAACGGAGCTGGGGAAGGGGTTGGAGAACTCCTGAGGGAGCTGAGGGAGCTCATCCTGGAAAAAAGGAGGCTCAGGGGGGACCTTCTGGCTCTCTGAAACTCCCTGACAGGAGGGGGATCCCAAGGATCTTCTCCCAGGGAACAAGGGACAGGAGGAGAGGGAACAGCCTCCAGCTGTGCCAGGGGAGGGTCAGGTTGGGCATGAGGAGAAATTTGTTGCTGGAAAGGGTGGTGAGGCCTTGGCAGGGGCTGCCCAGGGAGGTGGGGAGTCCCCACCCCTGGAGGTGCCCAAAGAAGGCCTGGCTGTGGCACTGAGTGCTCTGGGCTGGGGGACAAGGTGGGGATGGGGCAC